GCAGGTTTGTTTATTTATTTATTTATTTATTTATTTATTTATCTCTATCTTTTTCTCTATCTTTTGGTGTGTCTATTGATGTATCTCTTTCTCTTTTTGTCTCCTTTTTTATCTCTATATCTGCCAGCAGTAATACAAAGAGGAATAACAGCAGTTATTGTTCCTCTTCTCTCTCTTATGCAGGTTTGTCTCTCTCTTATTTATTTATTTATTTATTTATTTATATTATTTTATATTTTATTCTCTATCTTTTTCTCTATCTTTTGGTGTATCTATTGATGTATCTGTCTCTTTTTTGTCTCCTTTTCTGTCTCCTTTTTTATCTTTATATCTGCCAGCAGTAATACAAAAAGGAATAACAGCAGTTATTGTTCCTCTTCTTTCTCTCATGCAGGTTTGTTTATTTATTTATTTATTTATTTATTTATTTATCTCTATCTTTTTCTCTATCTTTTGGTGTATCTATTGATGTATCTCTTTCTCTTTTTTTGTCTCCTTTTCTGTCTCCTTTTTTATCTCTATATCTGCCAGCAGTAATACAAAAAGGAATAACAGCAGTTATTGTTTCTCTTCTCTCTTTCTCTCTCTCTCCTTTTTATTTTTTTGTTTGTTTATTTATTTATCTTACATTATTTTTATTATTTATTTATCTCTATCTTTTTCTCTATCTTTTGGTGTATCTATTGATGTATCTCTTTCTCTGTCTCTTTATTTTTGTCTCCTTTTCTGTCTCCTGTTTTTATATCTTATAAACAAAATACACCAGTTATTCTTTCTCATCTCTGCTGCTGCTGCTGTTGCTGCTGCTGCTGCTGCTGCTACTGCTGCTGCTGCTGCTGCCGCTGCTGCTGCTGCTGCTGCCGCTGCTGCTGCTGCTGCTGCTGCTGCTGCTGTTGCTGTTACTGCTGCTCCTCTCGCTCCTGCTCCCGCTCCTCTTCCCCCTCCTCCTCCTCCTCCCGCTGCTGCTGCTGCCGCTGCTGCTGCTGCTGCTGCTGCTGCTGCTGCTGCTGCTGCTGCTGCTGCTGCTGCTGCTGCTGCTGTTTAGGACCAAATGGATCAGCTGCATGCGTTGGGTATAAGTTGTGGGGCTTTTACTTCTACGCAAAGCTGGGAGGAGCAGCGGCAACTTTATGATGAATTGTGAGGCCCTTTTTGTCTCCTTTTTGTCTCCTTTTTGTCTCCTTTTTGTCTCCTTTTTGTTTCTTTTTTGTCTCCTTTTTGTCTCCTTTTTGTCTCCTTGCTGTCACGTTTTTGTTGTGTTTTTTTCCCTCCTTTTTGTCTCCTTTTGCCCTCTTTTTTGTGTTTTTTTTGTATCGTTTTTGTGTTTTTTTGGTCTCCCTTTGTCTCCTTTTTGTCTCCTTTTGCCTCCTTTTGTCTCCTTTTGTCTCTTTTCTTTCTTCTTTTGTCTCCCTTTTGTCTCCTTTTTGTGCCTTCTTTTTATCTCTTTTTTGTTTTCTTTTGTCTTTGTTTTTGTCTCCTTGCTGCCTCCTTTTTGCTGTGCTTTTGTCTCTTCATTTTGTCTCTTCTTTTTGTCTCCTTGTTTGTCTCCTTTCTGTCTCCTTCTTGTATCCTTTCTGTCTCCCTTTTGTCTCTTCTTTTTGTCTCTCCTTCCTGTCTCCTTTTGTCTCCTTTTGTC